AAGTAATAGTTGTTATTTCAAGTTTCCTGTCTCCAGATAGGGAATCTGAAGCCTAGAAGGATTAAAGAAGCCGTCTGAAGTCACACAGTTCATAAGTGGTAGCTGATTGTGTCGACATGCTGGTTGGGTCTGGCAGAGACCCTGCTTCAGCCTTGCATTGCTGCCCAGGCACCCTTGATTCTTACTGCCTTGGCTGGATGGTTGTCCAGTATTCAGTTAACACAAGAATATCACATGTTCTTTCAAAATCATAACAACCAAGGCTGTTTCAAGCACTGAGCACAGAGATCATAACAAATTTTCTTCATTTGGGAGAGATCTGTAGAGTTTTTCAAGTGATAGCTCATAGCAGTGGTTTTAAAATTACTTAGTAGATACTCTTGTTATGAGCCTTGCTGTGGAGAGATCTATGTGTCTTTCAGGAATATGATAAGTGCTTATTACAAACTTCCTCGAGATATCTGGTCTACTCCCTACTACAGCGAACAATGAGAATATGTTCTGAACTCTTCTGAAAAAGTATTGCTAATTATGGGAAATTCAGTGCAAATAGTACCAACATAGATATTAGCACCATGAATTTGATCTGCTTTCTTAAAATGCAATAAAATAACAATTATGAAAATGGAATAGGCCTGTCACCATATACCATACCTGACTATTCTTATAAGAAAAATATATTGTGAGTTAAAGACTAGAAGTCAATTTAAAAATGTATATTTACAAATTAGAATTCATATATTTCTGTAAAATATTTGAAATACAGTGCAGCATTCCATGGTAGACATGATGAACTGTTTCCTGGATGTATTCACAGTAGGTTTGCCATCGCTGACCCTGGTCACACCCTGGGGAAAAGCCAAGCAGACATCACATGCCATAAAGTAAAGGAGCGTAGGTTTTTTCTGGTAACCTGGGCTTCTGCTATTTCCCCTCCCCAAGATAAGATGCGAATACTCACCTGCTATTGGATGAGGCATTTTTATATTAAAATGTTGACTGAGGGGTTTAAAGGTTTGCTAAGAAAGTGGGGCACATGGCGATATCTGTCAGCAGCCTGTCCGTGTGCTAGGCATCCCTGCAAGGTTTAGCATCCGGTGTTCCCTGGCTGGCAGCGAACAGGAGAGGAGCAGAGGGCTATGGGGGCTGTTGAGGGAAGTGAGATAGATGGCAAAGGGACTGCAGGGAGCGGATCAGACATCGAGGGACTCTGAAAGCACCGGTGGAGAAGGGGGCAGGAGAAATGGTGTTTTCAAAGACAATTTTCATGTGTCTGACGGTTCAATCAGAAATGGAAAAAAAGGAAGTTAAATTAAAGGGCTTAGTTGTACCATACAGGAGGAGAGAGCATAAGCTGAGAACCTGTGACTTTGGAGATCAGGCCTCCAGGGCAGCTTTGCCTCCGAAAGCAGTGGAAAGCTACCATTGTGTCTTTGATCCATGTTAGTGCAAATTAGATGTAAGGCTTGAAAGCTGGATTCTGCACTCAGACTCCTTAGATTAAATTCCGACTTTATCTCCACTTATGCAACATTTGTAAATCAAGGGCTGAGCGTATAGCTTAGCGGCACAGCACCTGCCTGGTAAGAGCAAGGCTCTGAATTCGATTCCTGGTATCAAAAAAAATCTGTCATAAATCATAAAATGGCTCTGTGGCCCAGTAAAATAAGGATAGTAATAACTACATCCAGGGCTATTGCTATTTATTACAGGTAGCAAATTTTAATTTGTAATATGTGTTACAATAATGATAACTATAGTGTGTGCCAAGTATATTATTATCTACATCTACTTTTCCTAAGCAAAAATCTTCAGATAATACCACTGAGCACACTGTATGGGGTGTTCCTCAAGTCAGCTGTTAATTGCTGAGCTGCCATTCAGAGCCATGTGATCTGCAGCAAGTGAGTGTCCTGGCTGGGCCTCAGGTTCCTGATCCATATGCTTCTAAGAGCTTAGTAGCTTTCAAATTCTGCCCTTGTTGGCATTTGAATCTTAAATGCCCCCAAAAGGCTCTTGATTTGGAACTTTGGTGTCTGATGCAACACTCTTTAGAGATGGGCCTTTAGAAAGAGGATTGGATCAGGAGGGCTCTAATTTTATTAGAATACTGGCTCATACTTTGGTGGTATTGTTGGGAGGTAATGGAAATTTAGGAGATGGGACCTGATTGAGAGAAGTGGGTCTTGGAGGTGTGACCCCGGGGACTATCTCTTATCTCCAGGTGCTTCCTCCCTGGCTCCATCCCCTCCACTCCAGGAGGTGAGCAGCAGCTGCCTCCTCTGCATGCTGTCAGCAAACCATGGACTGAACCCTCTGAAACCATGAACCAAAATAAACCTTTTCTCCCTCAAGTTGCTATTCTCTGATACTTTGTTAAGTGTCAGAAGCTAACACAGCTCCCTAAAGGCCTGAGGTTTCCAGAACAGAAGCATCAGTGATGCAGGGGGTGGGTGGTGGGAAGCATATTGGATGAAGCAAAGGAAGCCCAGCTGTAAGTAACAGAGCTCCTCTCTCTCCTGTCTTGAAATTCTTACTAAATTCTTACGTGTTTGAACAATGAGTGCTACTGCTAAAAAAAATTCAGCTCAATGAATTCAAAGTTTCTTTTAGTTTCAATTATCATGTACTTCCTCAGAAATTTATGACCCTTGTCCATTGAAACAAAGAAGCAGAAGCATGTATATGAATGAAAGTAACAAATCCAAGAAAATTGAGTAAAAACCAAAACATCATTTACAAGGTACCATGCAGTGACCAAGATTCTTTCTAAAACAGTGACACTTGGACTCATCCTATTTATGGGGAGCCCCAGCTACAACAATGGTAACTGAGTTTGTGAATCAAAAGAAATATAGAAATTATTACATGCGCATTCTGGAAAAGGTAATTATTTAAACATTGTAACAGTTTCTTGGTAGTTAGTGATTTCTGAAACTACTCTCCTTTCCAAAGCAAATATCAAATTAAAATTCTACACTTATGATCACCATGTTGCTACTAGCAGTGTACATGATCTGAGAAATAGTTGGTTTAATTGATTTGAAGATATATATTTAGGTAAATATAATCGCAATGTTCCCTCTGTATGGAAACCTGTACTGATTTAAAAGAGATAAACACATCTGTAACACAGGTTGTTTATGGCTTGAATTGCTTGAATGGCATCTGAAAGCCAAGGAAACCCTGTAAACACGGGAATATACGGAGGTAATGGGTGCAGCTGTTTAATCTGTAAGTGCTATAAGGATTAACATGCAATGGAAAGGACTGACTTCACATATGCTACATACTGAAGGTTACCCGTGATTTTTCTCTACAATTACCTCTCTCTACCATTCAAAACCACAACTGTTGTGTCAGTATGTGTGTGTATTAAAGTGTGGTATTTTCACAGTTTCGCTGCTGAAATATATGTGTTAGCTTGGAGCAGCAGCATCTGTTAACACCTTGCCATGGATTAGTTTATCTGGTAACTAACTTTCAAAGAGGGTTGACTCCTGGGGTAGGGACACGAGCGGATGGTGACGGTTCCGTGGGAATGGAAATCAGGCCTAATACAGGAAGGAGGAAGGCACCTTCCCATCGAGCCACACAGGGAATTATGGGAGCCACGAGGTCCAGCGGAGCCAAACAAAGAATGAAATGTGGACCAAAGAGTGTCATTAAGAGAAGTGTAGAGAACAAACCTTACATTCGCTCAAACAGGCTCAAATGTGTTGCGCAAAACCAAGATTATGAGTGAATCAAATCATTTTTGTTCTACAGTGATTTGGGACAAAAATGAGGAGTCAGTGTTAACATTTTTTGTTAGTAAAAACAGATTGTATAGCCCGTATTCTAAAAGCAAGTTTCTTAAACATGATTTTATGTTCTAAAATCATCTAAGTAATACATTTTGCAATGGTAAAAGTTTTTAAGTGAAAACACATAATATATAAAGGCATAAATAACTCTGCCTTTAATAAGACATTTCCTATTATAGCCACTGAATATCACATCTGCTACAAGGATATTATTTTTTCCCACATTCCATGTGCACAGCTCTGATTAGCACAGGTAAAACCTGCACATCTCTTTCAAATGATGAATTAGACCTAGGGAAATGAAAAGATGTATTTTATTCTGACACATTTTATTATTAGGAGAGCTCTGAATAGACCTTGTTTTTTGATAATACCTTTAAAAATGAATAGTTTGTCTCAACTCTGTGTTATGCTTACTGTTTTTCAGGGGGGAAAAGAATGTCTCTTGCCAGTACTAATATCATTACAGCACCACAAAGCATTTTATATTGCATTTGGAAAAAGAAACTTTAATAAGATCCTTTCCACACTTTTTCTTCCATCCAGTCTTTGCTTCATCTGCTGTTTTCAAAATAAGTGCACAAATGTTACAAAGTAAAAGGAGACATAATTATCAGCCCAGGTGTCTTGGTTTATGCCTTTCCTGTTGTTCATTTATATCACTGTTCAGATGTATTCCTTCTTAAAAGTTTTATCTCAGAGTAAAATTTAAGAATAAGATGTTTTGAAAGGGAAAGTGTGATCTCAAAAGGAAAGAGCAACTGGGATGGGGAAAGGAGAAAAGGAAGAAGGGGAAACATTGTGTGTATATAGTATACATATATGTAGGTATATTATATATATATATATATATATATATATATATATATATATACACACACACACACACACACAAGGTAGATACCTACACTACTAATCTGTTACTTCATCAAAAAGAACATTTTGTATTTTCATTGTTTGTTTGATCATTTTTTCATGCCTAAATCTTGTAACCTGAACAACTACTTCTAAGATGACAATTTGCAATATATGGACTATTGTTAATTTCCTACTTATTTTGGAAATTCTGTATCATTTGTATCGTTTTTGTTTTATTTTTAAATAAAAAGAATAAGATTTTTAAATAATTTAATTTCAAAACTACGTTAGCACCAAGTGTACTACAATGTTTAACTTTTATCTATTTGTTTGCAGGGCTACGGCAACACACAGGGGCCAGGTTATTTTCAAAGACGCACTCGCCCAACAGTTGTGTGAACAAGGAGGTAAGACTCGTATTTGACCTGGTTGTGTCCAAATCATTTATGGTTCTATGTAACCAGTAAGTGTTTCATTACTTTGACTTGGCTGTGCCTTTGTATTATGGACCATTCTGTACCACTAAAAACTACTTATTTAGTAATTATTGGTTAAGGTTTACCATTAAAAATACTAGGCAAAACTAACCAGAAGAAAATTCATGTTTTCTCTAATGAATTAGCTTAAGTTATCCTAAAAATACAAATCTGTAATTCTCTATATTTACAATGCTGTACCATATTCTGCCTGCACTGTCAATTTAAGATTTAACTGTAGATTCTTTATGTAGTATCAGATACGTGCGATAGCGACCCAAGAAAGCAATTTCTGCCCTGGGACTGACACATGCACAGCAGTTTTCTCCACACCAAACTCCCACAGATGCCCGCTTGGACACACATCACCCCAGTAAAGTGAAAAGCGGGATCCCTGCCTCCATGCAAATTAGTCCTTCTCCCGTGGGAGCTTGCTCCATAGATGGACACCATGGTGATCTCTGGTTCCTCCGGAGCTGGCAGGGAGCCTGGTGTGCAGCAGCCACTCCGGAGCTATTGATAAACAGATCCGAGTTGGCTGCAGCCATACACGTGTTCTTTGGTTAAGCCTCTTGATGGTGCATGCTTGGAAGCCAAGCTTCCACTCAACATCAAAGATGTATCATCAATTTTTGTTTAGAATTTTTGTTTAGATATTTGAGAGACTTTTGTTAATTGAAGGATTATACATTATTGAATGTAAAGGAAACTTTACTAAGTATCTTTCTGCTAAAAAAAAATCTGATGGGCTTAGGAAAAAATGAGGAAAATTCTATTGCTTTTTGAAAAGCCATATATATACTTGTGATTATATATATTATGATTTTTATGTAAATAATGCGATGTTTGTTATTACTGAAAGCTTTCTGATTATTCACTTACATAATTCTTGAATCAGAAAATTCGACTCTAAATGATACTTTCCGACATATTATCAATGTGCTTTGGTCACAGATTTTTACTCTGTGATTTTTTATGAATGCAAATATTAAAACATACATTTTTGTATGTAAGTTCATGAGTTCTAGGACAATGTAAACCTTTTTCCAATACTTTAAAAATACTCACATTACTGAAAATATAGAACACCATGTACCAGTAATGCTAACATCCTGAAAACCCTTTAATGTCATCAAATGATATTTCTACTTTTGTTTACATTTATCATTGCCTCAAAATGAATTTCATTTAAGCCTGGAATTTTTAACTCTTTTCTATTGCAAATGAGTTGCTGAGGTTAGAGCATTTTGAATGAAAAATCAAGAAAAATCAGTGGGAAAAAAAATGTCAACCAGTGAAAAAAAGAATTACCTCACAAAGTACGTCATATCGCACATGACTATGATTTACTTGACGGTAGATGTGGTATTATTAAAAATGTTGTACAGCCGAGGGCCGGAAGGAAAGAACTGAGCTCTTCAATGCACCCAATCCTTCAAAATCATGTCAATTTAACCAAGATAAGGTAAAAAAAAATTCTAGCAATAATGACTTCTCACTGTCAGGAAAGAGTAAGGAAAGCAATTGGTGCTGTAAACTATGTATTTATTTTGGCCCTATCTACTTTTAATTAAAACATGAGTGATCTCTTCAAATAACGTAATTTAGCATGCGCTAATTTTCTATGCATTGGTTTAAAAACATCTGCTATGCTTATTAGAAGAAAAATGATGGTCTCTATGTACCACAGCACGATGCCTTTCAATTATCACATCATCCATAGATTTGTTGATTTTAATTAATAAACATTTCAAACAAAGCAAAAATTTTTATAAAGCTGAGAGACACCTACTGTTCTAAGACTGTGTTGTTGGCTCAGGGTGTGAAAAATGTGAAAGGGTTGGAAGGCACACTCATGATGCCTTCAATGGTCTGCAGTCTTGATCCCTTCCTGGAAGACCTCCATTGAACTGTATTCCCCACGCAGGCAATGGACATCTTTAACACTTCTGCCCCAGCCCAATACAGGCCCGCAGTTCTTGAGGAATTCTCAGGCCAGGCTGTCACTGGCAGATCCATGGGTCATAAGGGAAGCTAATTTTGCCTGGAGCATTAGGAAAGGCTCCCCAGGGAGGGAGCCCTTAATGGTCTTTGGGTTTAATAGAAAAGGGGAGGAGATTGCATTGGTCTCCTTCCTTCCCTGCTGACCCAGCTTTGATCTGCCCACATCACTGCTCTGGGAATTGGTTAATAGCCTCCTTCCTCATTGCTCTGTCCTCCTTTTCTTGGTGCCGATACAGAGTTGCAATAATGACTTTCTAAAGTGAAAATCCGATTCTGTCATTGCGGCTCCAGTGTCTCAATTAGAAGCGATAGCTTATCTTCAGGGTAAAAGTCCCACTGCTTGTCATGCAAACAAAGAAATTATGATCTAGCATTGTTTTGCACCCTCTGCCTCATTTTTTTTTTCTATGTGAAACTTCCTGTTGACCTTCTCCTGTCATCCAGTGTTATTTGCACCCTCTCTTCTCCAAGCTTTCTTTGCCAGAGTGATGCTTTCGAGTCTTTTTGTTCAGGCTCTCTGAGACTTTCAGACCTGGCTTAGGTATTGCTCCTCCCGCCACCCAGAGGGAGGTGGCACTTGGTGAGCTGTGACTGGGACAGCATCCCAGCTGTGCCTGTGTTCAGACGTCATTCAAACATGGATGCGCCTCTGTCTTGATCCATCATGGTCACTGAGTGACCTTGTCCCAAGAAAGTGTTTGGGGAGCTTGTGGATGCGTGGCGGTTGTGCGCCAGGGCCACCCCCTCTCCAGCAGGGGCTGCTTCTCCCTTTCCTGTGGCTGTGCAGTCATTTACCTTTGGATTTCGGACTTGACAAGGGCTTTGGCAGCATGGCTCTGCCTGTGTGACCTTCTCTCCCAGACGCTGCATAGGGCCAGCGAGTTACAAAGTAAAGAGAGCAGGCGGGAGCCAAGGTCTAAGGAAGGTCAATGGGTGCAGAAATATAGAGCTTCTGCTGATCACGGTGTGAGAATGGGAATGTTCCCTTTTTTCCCTCACACCTGGTTTTTTTTCAGTGAGCTTATATTGTTTGGGTGATAAGAAAATAAAGCAAGTTTCACCAAAGAAGTGTACTTACATGCTGCTGCCTTTGAAGGGGAAGGAGCGATCCTGCCGAGGCAGGTGGAGTGACCCTTTCCTGTAGACCTTGCAGCCTCTATTTTACTCCAGGAAAAGGAGGCAGACAGTGAACAGGAGAGATGCAAGCGCCCCAGGAAAATCCTAGACTGTGACCCTCCTGGCTCCCCGTGGGGTCCCTGGCTGACTGTCAACGTGGTCTGTCCCTTTGTGTCATCATTTTTGTTTCATTTTCCCCAAATAGGAGGATTTTGAAGGCAGGAATCACCATCACGACTTACTTGTTTTGTTTTCCGTCACCTGTAATAATGGTTGGTATTAACCATACACTCGATAAATGCCAAAAATTCACTTAAATGTTCGACGGTTGAAGACTCAATGCCCTTCCTGAAAAATCCTTCGTCCTGGCACGGACCCAAAGTTTTTGCACTTCTCATCTGGGGCTAGTGCCCTGTGTGTGTGAGAATGTAAGTGATACACGATATTTTCCTGCTTTCTTGAAAGTGGAAGATTTTAGATTTACTCACTGTCAGTAGAAAAGAAGGGACATCATTCAATATTTCATGCTCACCAAGGCTCATTAAAAGCCTGTGACTGGCCAGGTGTGTTCTACACTAGGTCAGAGATACATTAATATCTCACAGCTGCATTCCAGGGAAAGGAGACAGACAGTGAATGTGAGACACACAGTGAATTGCGTGGGGTACTGTGTTAGAGGTGACAAGGAAAAAATTCCTGCAAGTAGAGAGAGAAAGCACACAGTGTTGGGGGACGGAGGAGTGACTTGCAGTGTTTAATAGGGTTACTGTAGGTTAGGAAAGGAGAGCAAAGGAAATTTCAAAATAGACTAAAAACTTAAAAGGAACTAGGACAGATCAATCTTTTACGAGAATTATTGAACGACCCGGAAAGAGCTGCAGACTTAAAATACATCAGCCTGAATCATGGAAAATATGCTCTTGAAAATTTTAATATGAACATGGTGTGAATAAATTGAGGGTGAGCAATAATATTTGAATGTATGCTATGGCCATGGCCTGCAGGATCCTTATCTATAGATTAAGCAAAGAACCAAGAAAGCTTACAACAAAAAACGTACGACTTCTAAGTATCAGGGCTAGAATCCAAATCCCTGGAGTCACAACCCAATCAGTGTTCATTCCATTATACCAACTAGATTCTTAGGGGTGGGAGAGATTAAACCCAGGGCTTTTGTAGCGAGCTACATCCTCAGATCTCTTTTGATTTTTCATCTTGTGCAGGATCTTGCTAAGTCCCTGCATTGCCCAGGCTGGATAGAAACCCTCAGTCCTGTTTCAGCCTCCCAGAACCCAGTAATTCAGATGGCCACTCCTTCCACTCACTTGAACCTTACTGGCACCCCAGTTTTTGAACCTAACCTTGCCCCAGGACTTAATACAGATAGTTGAGATAAGGGAACAAAGACCCCTGCCCCAAGTCTGTCCTGGAAACTTCCCAAAACTTCAAACCAATACTCAAATGCACCAGACCTCCTTGCATGACCTACAATAACTTTTCTTCCCCTAGAGCTTATGGAAACTTTGTGCACATAGGCTGTATCTCCTCCATACAGTTATAGTAAGTGAATTGTGGGAAATTCTGTGGTGGTAGACTCAGCTGACATGATTCAGTATCCTGCTGATCATGCTCTGGAAGACCCCTTTGGAAGGTCTACCACAACAGGCGCGGTGTTTAAACCCTGACGCCTAGGCCCAGGGCACTCCTGCCATTTCTCTAGGCCAGCACAAGTCCTCACTCTGAGGGTATTACCGCTTTAGTAAGCTTTTCAGCTGTCAAGCAGCTGATCCTGAATCCTTTGATCATCACAC